CCCCTCTCCCCCCTCTCTCTCTCTCTGTTTGAGAGAGGGAGGGAGAGAGGGAGAAAGAAGGGGAAGGGAAAAGAAAAAGAAAAAAAAAGAAGGAAACTTCTTTCTCAAAGGAGAAAAACAAATGCTGTCGCTTTAAATCAGAACTGAGCATGCCTGGCTGTGGAATTCTGACAGTTGAAGTCCACAAGTCTAAAAAAATTGAAACCCACCACTGTGTCAGTGCCTCACCAGCCATAAACCTCACCGCACGTCACTGCTTCCAAGGTACACTTTTGCAACAGGGAAAGATCCTCAACATCCAACTTCCACAAGCTAAGCTAAACTTGTACTTTTATCTTTGTCCAGGCTTCTCAAATTGAATATATTCCCATAACCATTTAATTTTACAGTGTCTTCTTTCATCTTCATTCCTTTTATTAAAAAGGTTCTAAAATGCAAGAAAACTTTAAGTCTAATTCTAATACTCTTGAATGAGAATAGGAAACTTAACAGAAATGTGGTTGGCTCTTGACTGATCTTGGAATCATCTTTTTAATACTCTGTTTAGGTGGCTGGGCTGCTTAATCCTATGCTGCATGGTGGTCCTGATCCTGGTCTTTTTCTACCTGGGATTATTATGTGGTATGTGTGGCTATGACAAAAATGCAACACCGACAACCAGAGGATGTGTCTCAAATACTGGAGGAAATTTCCTGATGGCGTGAGTACTTTTAATCTTTTCCCCGGGTTAAGAGAATTGTATTGAAGAAATATACTGGGAAGATAAAATGGAAAAAAGAAGTTGAAAAGAAGGAAGAAAATTTTGTCTTGGGTTTTACTGAGATTTGCATTTTAGAACTTTGGAGTTACACTCACTTTCTATGTGTATATATCCAATTACCTGGACTAGTCCTTGTAGTTTTCTAGCAAGGTTTTTTTGGAAGTGGTTTACCATTGCCTCTTTCCTAGAGATGAAAGAGAGGAACTGGCCCCAGTAATCCAGCTGGCTTTGTGCCTAAGGTAGGACTAGAATGGAAGGTCTTTCTGATGCCTGATGCCTTAAACACTGACTCTTTAGTTCTTATGTTAACTGTAGTTAACTAACTTTAATTAAACTAAATATATGTACATTAAATCAGGTACAGTGGTGGTGCCTGGCCCTATCTATAGTTTAAAGCAATCATAAACTCACAAGAGGTGTCATATTCCAGGCTTAAAAAATTATGCTGGTGGCTTTAAGTTGGTAACCATTCCAATGACTCATCCATGAAGAGATCTTAATGATATGCAAAAGCAGAAGCAGCATCTCATTAAATGGAATTAAATGGAACATTTTAGTGGATTCTCTGAAAAGGAGGAATCCATCTTATTTTTATATGTAAGATTAATAATATTTTGATGAAAATGCCTTTTCTAAATAGTAACTTCTTTAAAATCATCTTGGGAATTGTAAACAATTAAAAATACTTCTTCAATTGCAAAAATTATACTACAGACTTACAATTCCCTAAAAAACAAGCCTTTCAAAATCTACCTGAAGTTCTGGTAGAACAAAGAGAAATGTCCTTTGAATGCTCTCTCAGAATAAAATAGTGTTTTAATAGAATTGTGGAAGACATGCTATAGCTTCTCACATGAGACCCAAAATTCTTGTATTTTCAAAGTTCTCTATTCTGTCCTGCTCCCGTTTTCACACATTCTCAAGCAAAGCTATTTCAACAGAAAATATTCTACATTGTTCCCTCTCCTGTAACAACAGACTTATTTTTGATCTGGAAAATCAATGCATACTTCTGAATTAATAGATGTTCTTAAATTGTTTTCCTTAGTCTAAATTGGCTGTTAAAATACTTACAAGAGGATGTATTCTTAAAATGCTTTTTCCTATCACTCTCTCTCTCTCTCCCGCTCCTTCCATCAGTGGAGTTACTTTCAGCTTCCTCTTCTCCTGGGTTCTGATGCTGATAGTGGTGGTCACTTTCATTGCCGGTGGAAACATGGAGAAGTTGATATGTGAATCATTTGATGACAAGACTTTATTCCAAGTAGGGCACTCTATATAATCACGAATTTCCATATCTTTTCTGATAATTCTAATGTTTGCCATGCACTTGTAAAACATTCAAAATACTTCATAAAATATGCTGTCAGATGTGCCAATATGACATCTCTAATAAAATGGAACTTTGAGGAAATGTCTGCCTCAGAGTCTTACTTAGTTAGGGGTGGGTTGCTAATCCCGTTCCAACTGGTTCAGTTGGAACGGGGCCGGCGGTGTCCTCGTGCACGCGTGCAGTTCACACATGCGTCTTAGCGCCTGCGCGATGCTCCAGCTGCTCGCGGAGAATCGCACAGGCGCTGTATGTGCCATGCGCCTGCGTGGAAGCGCAGAAGCCTTCAAAGACCAGTAAGGAGCACGGGCGGGCAGGTGGGCCCTTCGCCGTTCCCGGAAGTTACTTACTTCTGGGTTCGCCGACCAACCGGTTGACGGGGACCGCCGCGAACCAGTTGAAACCCACCCCTGATTGGGGGTTACTTGGAACCCAGACAACATGCAGTATATGGCCAACATATAAGGCCATAATTTAATTAAAACAATTTTGAAGCCCACCACTGCCCTGCTCTAACACATGATTTATTGTGGTACCAAGTTATAGCTAGAGGAAGATGTAAGATAGTCATCACTGTATCACCTTTAAAGCACTCCTCTAAAGTAGATAGTGATATTATTAGCCATATATTACAAGTGAGGAAACAAGTTTGAAAGAACTTCCTGGAAGAAATTAGATATGAACTGGATTCCCCATTTGGTTTTTCATTATTCCAAATTATTACTATTGCTTAAATAACTTCACTTGATCTAAACTAAGTTCCTATTTTGTTCTTCAGTAAAGGGTAATGAATAACATGGCGTCTGAAACACTCTAAAGTTGCCACTCTGTGTAATATCACCATAATGTTTAGGAAATGGGTATTATACAATGTAGCTTCTTGTTACTTGCAAAACAAGTTATAGTAAAAAAAACCTGAAATTTCTGAGTACAGGTAGTCCTTGACTTACAACAGGTTGCTTAATTGACTGTTCAAAGTTACAATGGCACTGAAAAAATGTGACTTATGACCATTTTTCAGAGTTAGGACTGTTGCAGCATTCCCATGATCATGTGATCAAAATTCAGATGCTTGGCAACTGGTTCATATTTATGACCATTGTTGTGTTCCAAGGTCATGTGATCACGTTTTGCAACCTTCTCCCAAGCAGAGTCAGTGGGGAAGCCAGATTCACTAATTGGGTTCCTAACTTATCAACTGTAGTGATTCACTTAACAACTGTGGCAAGGAAGGTCATACAATGGGACAAAACCCACTTAACTAATGTCTCACTCAAAACCAGAAATTTTGGGGCCAATTGTGGTCATAAGTCAAGGACTACCTGTTTGTAGAAGCCAAATTAGATTTATAAGTCAATCTTTTTTAAATCGCATTTTAGATTTTGGACACACCCTACTTGCTTAATCGCCAGTGGAAACACTATTTATCTGGCATCATTCTGAAAAACCCAAATATTGACTTGACATTTGAAAAAGTTTACAGGTAAATTTTCACTCTTTTCTGCTTCTATTGTATAATTAACTTTCTCTGAGATTGCATATATATCCTCAATCATCTGAAAATGATTGAAATATCTCCAAATTTGCCTCCTGCACTCTCTGTAACATCTGCTTCTTGCCTTCATAATTGGAACAGCCAGGAACCACCTCCTCTTCTTGATTGTGGAGGAGACTCTTCTTCCCTTTTATCCATTTCCATAGTAATAAAGGATGATTGACTTTACCCCTTTTATCAGACTGTCTGGCTGACTTCTCATCTTCAGCTAAAACTGGGGAAATCGTCAGTTTCAATGTAGTCTTTCTCCCTCACTTTTGCTCTTTTGGGTGATGAACTCTCTTCCAATTTGGGACTCCCAGAAGTACGGTTTAAGGCGATGGTAGACTTTCTTAAATTCAATGCTCTCATCTTCTAATAATATAATCGAGTGCAAGGATGTCCTCATGTCAGTCTTCCTCTAATTACAGAAGTATGCTTCCTGAATTCTGGGAGTGATCAGGGATTTGCAGGAATGATGCAGGGATCTCTTATAGATACAGCAGTTTTAAGAAGGAAAGAATTTCCACTGCTAGAATCAATCAACTGAGATAATTGGTTGTTTTTGTAAATTTGAAAAGTTGAGAAAGTGAAAGCCAAGCTCTACACTAAAAGCTATCCAAATGCGACTTCTACAAAACCAGTTTGGATTACCTAGGGTACTGTGTGTCCAGTGAGGAAGTGGAGGTGGACCCTGGAAAGGTGAAAGCCATACTAGAATGGTAAGCCTCCCAGACCAGAAGGCAACTATAGAGTTTCTGGGGCTTTGCCAACTTCTACTGCCAATTTATCCCCTCATTCGCACAGATAGCCTTCCCTATCACTGAATTACTAAAAACAGGCAGAGGAGGAGTGAAACCTAAGCCTAGCCAACCGCTTAACTGGACTATGGAATATAGCAATAGCAATTGCAGTTAGACTTATATACTGCTTCATAGGGCTTTCAGCCCTCTCTAAGCGGTTTACAGAGTCAGCATATTGCCCCCAACAGTCTGGGTGCTCATTTTA